TCTTAAAGGTCTTTTCCAACCTAAACGATTCTATGATCTTTTTTCCTAATGTTTGTGGGGAGGCTGAGTTTTTTGGGCTTAATTCTAATGATCACTACTGTGATGCTTTATGTGGAAGAGAGAAAACACCGATATGTTTTCTGCTCTAAGAAATGAACAGTATAGTTAAGTTGAGCATCAACACAATATTAATAGGTGCCTTTGGAATGTTTTTACTGCATTGTCAATTCATTTGTCTAGAGAGAAGTCTAGGGTAGAAATGGTCCGCATAATCTTGACTTTTGACAAGTGTGTTGTGCAGTGTTTAATATTGAACACAAGCACACATGAGGTAAACAGGAATTTGAGAGCATAATCTGTTTTCAAACTTTCATTTCTGTAACTTCTGGAATTTCTGCTTTTATTCAACAGCTACTCCTGAAAGCTAAGCTATTGGAAGAATCTGTTTGGTTTTTTAATATAAAAGTAAAAGCAGCATTTTTAAAAATGGCACGACCTTCAGCATAGGTTTGACTAGCCCACACTGTCTCTGTTCATTGCATTGTTATGCAAGGATACTTTAAGCTGATTTACTGCCATTTGAATTTGAATAGATTGCTTTTTTAAAACAGCTTCATTTCTCATGAAGACAGTAAAATACTTGAGAGTGCTTTTTAAACAAAATAGCAGAATGTAATCAGAATAAAAATATATTACAGGAGTGAGAACCAACAGAGAGGTGTAAACTGATCGGAACTAGTTTTCCTTCCTCCTGGAGGGGAGGAATACTTCATTTATTAGGTTTACATATAGGCTTCTGCCAGCTAAAGTCCTGGGAGCTGAAATATCAGCTGTCTTTCTGTACTTGATCTGGGAGATCTTGTACCATGTCAGCCTCCAAACTGCAGAGTAAGTCGAGTTGATTCCATTGCTACTTAGAGCAATCAAGAGAAGTTGAAAGCAAACTGGGGAAAAATGCAAACGTTGGCATGAGCAGCAACAGTATTTATTCTTGAGTCAGTTGGCTTGCATGGACTCAAGTGCAAATTCAGATAAGTACTGTGTAAAGAGTTCACAAGAAATGGGGTAGCTGTGTGGCTTTTTGACTGTCAGTCTTTGGGAGCATGTTAAAGAACAGTTTTGGGAAGAGATTTGGGTAATTGAAACCAAGCAATAGCATGTTTGTAATCTGAGCAAGTTTTTTGAGTTTCTTCTTTCCGCCCCCCCAGCTGTCTTATCTTCATACTATGCATTATCTGATAGAATAGTGAATGGAATGATGCTTTGGTGAAACTGAGTTGCAGTTACCTGAGAGAAAAAGTTTAGATGATCAGTTCTCTGTACTCTTGAGTACTTGCATTATCACTTGTTACAGCTTAAGGATGAAAGTACAGACTGAAATATTTGAGGCATTATACTGAATTTATAGCTTTTCACTTTTTATTGCATACAAGCTGATGAATGCATTTTGGTTTCTGTGTTGGGTCAGGAGCATAGGCTAAATAGCTGGAGAATAATTGGAGAAATGGAGAACCATTATTCAAACTGAACTATGATGCATTTGTCTTGAATAGAGTATTACATAGTTATCGTTTTCTAGAGCTGAATGGGAGGTATGTTAAGTGATGAAAACAGGAACAGTAAATAAAATAAATCGGAAATACTCCATTTGTGGAATTTCTCTGTTGAACTGTTTGGCTTCGCCCTTTCATATGTCTGTTTTACCAAGCTGAAACACTCTGATGTAGAAGCTGTACCATAATCTAGCCATCATTTTCTCAAAATAAATAAATAAAAGTAAAGTTAAAAAAAAAAAATTCAATTCTTGCAATCATCTCCTAGGTTGCAGTTCAGTTCTTACATATCTCTTTTGTAGTTTGCTAAGATTTTATATACTGCCATCTCTTAATTTGCAGCGCATTGACTCTGGTGCATTTCATCTTGCTCAGTTGTTGGTAGGTTGCAGCAGGACAGGAACCTGTGGAAAGTAGTTGTGGGGTTTTTTTTTCTTCTTGGTGGCTATGTCACTGTATAACCCAAGAAATATTCATCCTCTGCCTTGCCCCAGTGTCTAGGCTCTGTAATCCATAGCTTATAGAGCGGTTAGAAATTTCTTGAGTTTGAGGTAGCAACTTTTTCTTAAAGTCGAAAAAACATCATTAAAAACTGGCTGTTAAAATCCACGGCTACCTTAAAACTTGAAGTAATCTTGCAAATATGACCAAGAGCAAAGCCAGCCAGTTAAGTTTAGGTGTGAGAGATGGTAAAGTCTAGGGAATAACTATTGTGCAACTCCTGTTTCAAGGTGGGGAATATGTAATTGAGTTAACTCATCTGTTTTTTGCACCAACCTGCTGAACCATTTCATCACAGGATAGGAGACACGACTGTTTGACTTCTTCCTGCTTTTACTAGGTGGGGTATTGTTTCACACCTTCAGACCCGATGTTAAGCTAGGACTTGTCTGTTTGTCTTGAAATGAGGAAACTTTCTTTTCTCCCTTTGTAGCCTCCCTTTCCTAAATCTTGGTGTTTTCACAGGTGCCTTTGCTTTCCATTGAATATGGCAAGGTGTGTGCATGACACTCAAAAGTTTTCCTCTAATCGCTCATCAGACAGCTCTTTGAAAAAGGAGGTGATTAATGTTAGTTGCTTAAAATGCCAGGGTAGTTTTGGAAAGGAGGGTTTAACAACAGAAATACAGATCCCCAGAACTGTATGATTTGCACACTTCACGAGGTTGCATGTGTGACTAATATGTCCCACTGTAAACTCTGCAGTTCAAATGATGGAAACACCTTTGTTTCATACCCTAAAATAGCTGTTCTTTTACTCTGACTTTCCTGTAAATTTTACTCTCCTGTAAATTGAACACTATTCCTAGGACTGTCTGCACGTATAGGGGCACAGTAGCTGAATGTAGATTTTTGTACTATAGCAGTAGGAAGGAAGTTTTCATTCCCTTGTTATGTAGCTTCTGTTTAGTAAGCCCTGGAATGACTCAGTTTTTGTGTTCTAACATGTGATATGTAAGACTTAAAATAGCAAGAAGTAGTTTCGTCACAGTTATTTATAGAAACATGAGTTACGAAGATTAATATATCCAAACTCAATACCTTATTTCCAAGAGCTGTTGGACTGAAAAACCTTTGGGAAACAGTACCTTTAGATTCAAAATTACTTTTGTAGTCTATGTTTAGCTAGCACAAGCAGTGGTTACCCCATCACCAAAGACTGTGTAAGAGTTAGTCAGAGAAGATTGTCACAGGGTTTTCTGTTGCTGTTTTGGTTAGTGCAACATGGGGTTTTACTGACACCACCTACTAATAGTACAACGCATAGGGAACTGAGGCACTGTAGAAACTAAATTAGGAGTAAAGAATAATTCAGACTATCTTATCCAGGGCTCCCAGCCCATAGCGCTGTTCTTAGAGGAGAGCAGGGGTGGTGCCTAATGCTGGGTGGGTGAAGTTGAAGACGTGGTTATTCCTCTGCCAGGATATGGAAGCAGGGTCTGATACCTGTATATGATGGTAAGTCCAGTTTGCTCACTGAGGCTTACAGATGTCAGGGAGCTGTTGTAGATCACTAGTGTAGGGACAGCTTTGATCACCAAAAAAGCCAATTCTAGCTTGGTGGATTATCATTCAGCACAGAGTATTTGGTATGAAAAGTGCTGATTGAGATGGTGTAGCTGGTAGACTGGTGTACCTGAAACTTCAATAAGATGTAGTCTGCCTCCCGTGCAGATTTCTTCTTTTGTGCAAGCCAAATGTGGGGAGACCAACTGCAGCTGACAAACTGCGATCATCTGCAGCTGACTTACCGCTACAAACATAGTGAACACTTAACCTGCTGGGCTTTCCTTTTATCTAGTTCTTTTTAGGGACTTCGTACAGTAGCATGGAAATTCTTCACAGATGCAGGTTTGAGTGTAGCTACTGATGTGTTTTCCCTGTGACGAAGATGAAGCTGCAGACACAGCTCCCTCTATTTAACGCTGTCTTCCCAAGAAGCCTGTAGTTGTGTGTCATGCTGTTGACGTTGCATGGAAGGATTTGTGGCAGATAATCAAGGTACCCATTGCTATATGAGATCTGTGCGCATACTTTACTGCCACAAATGCAAAATGCTGAAATACTTCTGAAAGTGGCTCAAGTACTTCTGAAAGCTAAATGTCCTTGCCTCTGGCAATAGTCAGTAGAGAGGTCTGCTTGGTGTCTTCTTAAAAAGACCTCCCAGCAAAGCTTCCCTGTATCCTCTCCTTGTCTCTTCCAGCAACAGAACCTAATATTAAAATTACTGTGTAAATATATTTCTACGTGGCAACTGGGGAGGAGATCAGCTCCTTTCAGGTCATTGTGGTAGGAACTGAGCCTGCCCTCTGTTTGCAAAAGCTCTGTTCCTTCAGCTGGAGATGCTGTGTAAGTGAAGTGTTCATTTCTTGAAGCACAGGAAACAGGCTGCATAAGAAAGCCAGAACATTGTCTCCAATTAAATATTCACCTGTGAGCTCATCATGCCATTTAAAATGGCACTAAATGGAGTGTTGTGCTCTGCTAAAGCAATATCTGTGCTTTTAGGGGTATTAAATCAGATCGCCCCGTAAGACTGATGTATGGCAAAGCAAAACCCATTGCTGTCTATTTTAGAGGCTAAATATTACTACATTTTTCTCTTAGCTTTTCAGAAAGTTTAGCTTTTATTCTGAGCTTCCAGCTGAGCGCTTTATGAATGCTGTGAATTCTTCCTGGTGGTATATAGTGCAAACTTCACAGCACTGTGTTACAAGGAAACAACTGGGCACTTCTGTATTCAAGGTGAAGCTCACACACAGCATGCTTTGCCTTCTAAAGCTTTCCAGCAAATGCTCCTGCAGGTTTGGTTGTATGTTAGACGGACTTAATAAAGATTCCCCCCCTGCCCCCAAGATGACTGACTTTGATCACCCCATCTGCTTTTTCTTTCCTTCAGTGATGGGGAGGGAAAGAAAAGAACATCGACCGTCTGCAGCAGTGAATCTCTAAATGCTGTGGGGGCCACGCTCACACCTCGCCGCATCTCCTGGCGGCGGAGAATATTCCTGCAGGTAGCTTCACCTATGAATAAATCTCCTTCCAAGATGCAGCATCCAGGTCTGTGTGTGCTTTTAAAGAAAATAAACAAGCAGTTGTTACTGAATAATTATTACTGTAGTGAACTGCAATATGTGAAAATATGAAAGGGAGAAGCAAGTCAGCTTGATACAATATTCTTACTAGAACCTGACTAGAGAACAGATGTGCTCAGCTGGCTTTAGGTCTTTGTTGCTTTGAACAGAGGATTCTGTAATCAAAATCAAATGAATGGCAATCTGCTGTGGCTGCACTGGTAGCACGGAAATGAAGAACTGCCACTTGCTGACAGAGATATCCTCTTTAACAGTTAGCAAATGTTTACCCTAGCCTGCTTACATAATAGCAGTGTTTGCAGAAAATGGTAAATTTTCTGCTTTGTCCTTGTACTGCACATAGTACCTGTTGAGTGTCTTAAGAATTATTATAGCTTTAGGTCATTTAAGGTAGAAACATGAAATATCTGAAATCTTGCTATGTTGATATAGTCCCATTGGCAGAATTCACAACCATAGGTGAATGACAAACTCTGTATTTAGTGACCATAACGTGCTATAGCACTGCCTATAGTGCAGCTTAGCAGATGGAAAAAGTTGCTTTTAGTATAGAGCCTGTGGTAAATCACAGCTGTTAACAAGCTCAGCTGTGAAGGATACTTTATGGATAAATGCCTTTTTGTAACTCCAGGAGGAGGTAGCAGGGGAAAGGGTTGAAATACTGGGTGACCCTTTGTTTAGCTTTATTTCATTTAAATATAACTTTAAATAAAACAGTTTATTTAAAAATAATTCTCTGCTGTTGAACTGCATTTTCTCTGTCTTTGGAATCAAGCACCTGACTGCTGAATGTGGAAGACAGCTATTTTTGTTCAGCTGTTACTTAGATTTTTCATGACATGTCAAACAATCTGAGTTTCCTATAATAGCTTTCTGATTCTTTGCAGATGGTCATGACGGAAATGAACTGTTGCCATTATCCCCTCTTGCTCCACCCTTGGAGGAGGACCCTCTTGTTCTAGTATTGCAAAATGAGGATGGTCCAGATAAAACTGGAGAGAGGAAAAACTCAGAAGAACTACAAAGTCTGTGGAGAAAAGCCATCCATCAACAAATTCTGTTACTTCGAATGGAAAAAGAAAACCAGAAGCTGGAAGGTTAGCTATTTAAAAAATACCCATAAAAACTATTACAAATTCTGCTGCCTGAAGCTGAAAACTGTACTGGTGTTGGGCCCCTCAAACAGAGGTGTGGTTCTGTAACTTATTGGTTAACAGTGCTAGAAAGAAATGTGTTCACCCAGTCCTGTCTCACAGTCTACCAGGTTGTCTGTCCACCTGCCAACTTTTAATGAGTTACCCTAGTTAAAGAAGAAAGTGATAACTTTTCCTTTTTTAGTGCATGTTAGACAAAGGTCGCTACAGTCTGTATTCTAGCTAAGTCTAGGAATTCTCATGTGAAGTGGAGTCAGGAGAACGGATGCTGTGTGAACACTTAGGTATGGTAAACCTTACCCTCTGTATCTTGTTTCAGTCCTTTGCAGCACGTGACATTTCTGTCCACGCTTTCTGTCCTTCATTAACAACAGCACAGTGGTAATTTATAAATATTTGAATCCAAATGTGATTTTTGAGCAACTGGCTCTTGAGGTATGTCAAAAAGTTCATTTTTTCAAAAGATGAGCACTGTACACTGAAAATTGAGTGCTGTTACTGAGGGATCTGAAGTTGACCATGCTGACTTGTCAGCTGCCTGAGCTTGTGGCTAAGGTATTTTATTATGACTGGTCAATATTCACACAAATGAAAGACAGGATGCAATGTCTATCCTAGCATATAGAAATTCTTCAGTGTAATAGACTAATAGCTTTCGGTGCAAGTTGAAAATGTCAGATGTCCTCTCTGCAATTGCTGCCCTCATCTTCTCCTGTATGGTGTATAACCTCATTATGTGGTGATTTTTGTCAGTTAACTCTCTTTCCTTCTTTAGTGATCCTTACTGAGAAGGCAGGAGGAGGAGAGAAAAATAGCAGGACAGAAGTCTTTCCATGTCCCTACATCTTTGAATGTATTTCCTACACATGTAGCATATTTCTTTGTGCACTTTCTCTACAGTTTGTCTCCATGTTGACACACACTTCTGTGGAAACTCCTAGATTCATAGGGAACATCTACAGAGAAGTCTGTTTTAACTTCAGCCAAAGTCTTTGTTGTTTTAGCAAACGGTCAGTCTGCTGTTATTGGGGGTGGGGAAGCTGGACATCTGCTGTAGTGATTAATTTCATGTTATTCCCTCTGATAGTATGAGCTGCTGAGGGATGAACTCTTTTCTGTACCTTTCCTCCTTGGCTGGAGGTACTGAAAACTTAAATTGGTCCAGTTCCTTAAGACTCAGTTGGAGGTTATTTCCATCCTGTAACTGATATGTAGAAATTAAGTCCTACCTGCCTGATCATTTGTGGTAAAAACAGGAGTGTCAGCAGTGGAGGCTCCAAACTGACACCTATCTGCCAGCCCACACCTTGGTTTGTGCTCCAAAGAGCAAGTCTCCATTCTTGTATGCAGGTTCATAAGTACTGCTAGTGACAATGGTGCTCTGACTAGCTAGAATCTTATTTTCAAAGGATGAAAAGTAAACTGACTTAACACCTATCTCTAGGTTTCCTTCCTATGGGCTGCTGTAACATGGGTCATTTTATGGACAGGACATACTCAGAACTGATACATTCCAAATGAGTGCTGGTTCAGGCAGTGGTTGGCATCCTAGCCTACAATGGAATGTAGATCTCGGGAATGGGAAATGTAGTAACAGAAATGCAGCCATTTCTCTCCTTGAAGCCAGCTTCCTAGCTGTGAATTTATTCAGCTGTATATGACTGGTTTAAGACTGGAATTCCTGTGGAATTTTCAGTGGTTTTCTGTTAATGTTTTGTTGGTTTTTATTTGCAAAATATTAATAGAACCTCTTTTCCTGTTCCTTTTGCTGTCGAGGAGACTTGAATACTATTAGCTCTTTGTTTTACAGAAGGTAAGTTCTGTGAATTGCACAAACATGCTTGCTTCTTTTTTTTTTTTTTTTTTTTTTTTTTTTTCCCCCTGAGCAGGTAAAAGCTACATTTTCCAGTAGATCACCTAGAAATACAAGAACTACAAAAAGTAGCAGGCCACCTAGCAATGATTAGGAAGAATGTTAACAAGGATGGTTGCAAGCAACCAAGTAACCTTGCATAGGAGGTAGGGCAAGTACAATCAACAGGCAAGCTTGCTGGCTTTCAGTAGGGTTAACTGCAGAGCCAAAGTACCATTTGGTGAATGATAACCCATGCACTTAATTCTGGAGTTTGTTGTCATGCTGAAATACATTACTGTTCTCTTAAATCTGTCACATACTGCTTATGAGAATAAGCATTCTCAAATGAAACCATACAGCAATAGGGTAGTTTTTAAAATTGCCCCAACTGGACTGCAAATTCTTGTGGTGAGATCACGTTCCCATTTTTATGGAAGTGTACTGCTCCTTGTATAATAGGTGCTTCTACAAGGCCCCCTGTAGTCTTGAATAGGTATGGTCTCACTGGTGTAACAGCTTTTGGAAATAAATTATCACCTACATTTTTGGAGTGGCCTAGGCAATGATCTTATGGATACATCTAATACTGGCTGTATCCAAAGTGTGCTGATTAGCTGAAGGAACTGATAGTCTTGTTTTGCAGGTTGTATAATAACACAGTGAGAGTTTGTTTTCACCTAGAGATGATGATGGGGAGGGAGGTACATCTGTAAGAGGAAAGAGTCATACACCAGTAGTATGAGAAATTGGAGTGTTTTTCTGCATGCATATTGTATAAATACAATAACCACAGTTAATTTCTCAGTAATGGAAATGAAAGCTGCTTCTCCATGAAATTCCAGAGTAACTCTGCAGCTTTATTTCAGAAATAGTGAGTCCTCTGCAATAAATATCGTGACAGGTAGTCCTATGCAGCAAACCTTTTAAGTATACAGCAACATGAGTTCTGTGCTTCAGCACAGGTGTACCTTTCTGGATATGGTTCATGTTGGTTCACTCTATTTACTTTTAGGCAGCATGATGATGCCAAGTAGCAGTGCTAAGAGCTCTTACGACTCTCTTAAGGGACATATAAAAACTGGGACCAGTGTGACAGATTTCAGTTTAGAAGACTTGCCTAGCTTACTTGCCTAAATCTCTAATATAAACATTCATATATTTGGGACTTTCCACGCTAAAACAATTGTAATGTTCAATATGAACAAGAGCAAAATGATTAAAGATGTGTTTGCAGTTGAAAGAAGCAGCAGATGTGGTAAAGTTGACTGTGTTGAGTGGGTTTTTCTTCTTGCCCCAAGCCTTAAAAACTTTTCATGTACTTCATGAATTATGTTCGTGGCCCAGTAATAGAAGTTAAATTGCTACCTGCAGCATCTTATGACAAAAGACTGGCCCCCATCTCAGCTATTAACTGAGGAATTGTAGAAAGTGTATTTATCCCTAGTTAGATTATCAGATAGATATATCTAATGTGAATGGGGTTTGCGTATTTGATGTCTCTTGTAATTTTCTGATGTTCTGGATTTCCATGTGCTCTCCCTTTGTGTTCTGTGCTCTAGCAAGCAGAGATGAGCTCCAATCAAGAAAAGTCAAACTGGACTATGAGGAAGTTGGTACATGTCAGAAAGATGTCATAAATGTTTGGGATAAGAAGTTACTAAACTGCAGAGCCAAAATCCGATGCGACATGGAAGATATTCATTCCACTTTGAAAGAAGGTATTTATGTAGGATGGCTTTTAACTGTGAAGCCTGAAGATTATTTTGTTGTTGTTGCCTTTTGATATTGAAGGAAATCTGCCTGCAATACACTTTTTCCAGTAGCACAAAATCATGAAAAAAATTGCCTTCTTTTTGCAAATGCACCTACCTCCTGCTGCCAAACAGAAAATAGGTTCTGCTGTGTCTACAGCTTACAATGTCAGCAATGCAGAAACGTGTGTAGTCATACTCCTAAAAGTAGCATCTTGTGCCCATGTATTACTACATCGAAGACTGAACTTGGAGCATCTGCAGCTACACTGTGACCTTCTGGTTTCTGGTCTGTGGCTACCATCCAATTGACTCTGAGTTTCAGATGCTCTGATTTTACTTACTGAGAAAGCAGGACCATAATGTCTAATGCAGACTGTGCCCAAAACCTAGGGGAATCACAACCAAGCTTCAGAGAGTCAGAAGGACCGTATCTTGTGGAGTCTGGGCTATGGTCTTTTAGTATTTTGTTTCCTTGAGTGAAAGGCTGGGGATTTTGGCTTGAAGTAGGTCTTCCTGTGGCCTAACCATAGGCCAGAAGAGCAGCCAGAGGGCTTTGTTAGTATAATGTGGATGTAGAGTCTGATTGCATTGCTGTGCCCTCCTCCATAGAATCTCATGTCTGTATTACAGATGCTGGAAAATAATATTTCAGTGTAATCTGGCTGTGGTACAGAAGGGAAGTTTAAATTGCTACCAGAGAAAATCATGGTAGAAATAAGGCAGTTCCTGTTAGTGACCTGCAGAAGATTGCCAATAAACATCTTTCCTTGCTGCCCTATCTTCAGCTGCTGGACTGCAGTTCAGAATTGGGAACAAGGATATGCTTTTTCTAACTTGTATTGTTGTAAAATAATTATTTGCTTGGAAAGTATTAGCAGAGTTGACAATTTATTTTGACTTTCAAAGGTCGGTTTACAGAGTCAGGGGGTGTATGTGAAAGTCCTAAAATAGTATTTTAATTTACTTTATGCTTTCACAGGTGCTTGGCTGACTTGAGAGAAATGCTGTCTTTCAATATGAGTGGTTCTGTGTCCTTCCTTTGGTCCTTAATGCTTTTAGGTTTGAACTGAGCATTTTGTAATCTTTCTCCAAGCCCATAGACTGACATAAGCAGCCCTTTGGGAAGGGGAAGAGGAAGAGGAGGTGGACCTTCCTGTATTTTACACCTCTGAACTTAGTTCAGCCTTTTTAAACAGGACAGTCTGCATTCTGCATGTAGTCATGCATCTTTTCCTGCTGGAGGCTAACAGTTCAGAGGTGGCAAAACAAGTGATGGCTGTACCTCAGTTGCCCAATGTGCTGCTCAGTGTAATTATAGTAAGTTTGTGATTAATGTTTAGTTAATGGGACTGAACTGTGGCTACTGAGGGAATACACTGCAGAGTGGACAACTCTGAAGCTGGCTGTTCGTAAGGGATCTTCCAGAGTCGTTTGTCCAAGATTATGAGAGGCAAGATTATGACAAAGCAAATTCTTGTGTGGTAGCACTAAAAATAATGCCCCTGCTTAGGCCTCTTGTTTTTTGATTGACCTGCAGGTGTACCAAAAAGTCGTCGGGGAGAAATTTGGCAGTTTTTGGCTGTGCAACATAGAGTTAGACACAGACTGCCAAACAAGCAGCAGCCTCCCGACATCTCTTACAAAGAACTTCTGAAACAACTGACTGCTCAACAGCATGCCATCCTTGTGGATCTAGGTATGTCTGTTTGTAGCTGGGCGATTATTCTGACTTGTTTCATGTGTCTGGGTGAAAACACACCATTCTTAATGGAAGGTGTTGCTGGAGATAGATGCTGCTGTATCAGCACCACTTTTTATGTTGTCAGGATACATTCTGTGTATGCCACTTAGTGTCCTCTAAGCAAATGATTCTTAGGTTATGCTGTTTGTATTTATGCTCTTCTACATGTCTGAAAAGAGAAATCAAGCAGTTGCTTCTGCAAGTTCTATATGGACGAGAATATGAAATGAGCTCAGTGGATACAGTCTAAAATCAGTGGTAAATTACCTATTGATCTGACTAAAATCAACCTGCATATGAAAGCAAAGAGAAAAGGTTTACGGGAAGACAGAAGTGCAGTTTGTCAGATGAATCTGGGTTTTTTTTAATGAAAATAATTTAATATCAACTACTCTTCTCTCTTTACATCAGGACGGATTTCACATCCTTACTTTTCTGCCCACCTGGGAGCAGGGCAGTTATCACTCTTTAATCTCCTGAAAGCATACTCTTTGCTGGACAAAGAAGTGGGTTATTGTCAAGGTATAAGCTTTGTAGCTGGAGTGCTGCTTCTACATATGAGTGAGGAACAGGCCTTTGAAATGCTGAAATTCCTCATGTATGACCTTGGCTTCCGTAAACAGTACAGGCCAGACATGATGTCACTACAGGTAAGTCAGTCCTTCTCCTAAAGCAAACCAGAGTTTTAAATGAGTTTTGAGCTCTAAGAGGTTGCTCATGTTCTCCAGGGTCTTATGAAGCTTCTTATGTTGTTTTGGAGGTTGTGAGGTGCATGAAAACGTTATTGTCAAACCCCTCTCCAACTCTGAATTTGCAAACAGAGAAGTTCAGAACTTGCAGACTTTTCCTGTCACACGTCCCAATCATCTTCTGTTTGGAAACTCTGCTTTCTCTGCTATTTTGCTCTTCCTTTTCCTTTCCTCACTTCTCTCTCTTCCTTATGCCAAAAACCCGATATGCATGCATTTGTGTAGATGGAGTTTAAAAATAAATTTGATTTTGTTTTTCTGCAGTCCATGAGCACTTAGATGTAGATTTTTCTCTTGTAACTCCCCAAGTCAAATCAATAGTGACACCCAGTGGCCAGTCAGTGTGCTCCACAGGCATTTGTACTTGGGGCTGCTCTGTCTTGCCTCATCATAGAATCGTTTAGGTTGGAAAAGACCTTTAAGATCATCCAGTCCAACCATTAACCTAACACTACCAAGTCTACCACTAAGCCAATTAAGCACCTTTTTTTTTTTCTCTCATTGTCCTCTACCCCACCACCCTCAACACAGAGAGAAAACAGACGAATTTTTAATCGTTTAGTTTGCTTATGAAACGATGCATGCTCTGCAATATTACTCTTTTAACAGCTAGCTATAGATAATCAAAGCTTCTTAGGAAGGAGACAGAAAATCTTTTAGATCTGTATAAACTTCAGAGTTTAAAGTTTGAAAAATCTTTCACCTTGAGATGCAACTGTCCACTGACTTAAATAACTATATGGTATGAGCCCCCAATATTATAAAGGGATATACCCCTGCAGAGTTAAAGCTTGTAATCCACAGCGGAGAAAGAGAAAAATAAGAGGCACATACAAAAGCATCTTTTTTTTTTTTTTTTTTTTTTTTTTTTTTTTAATGCTCCCTGCATAGCAAACACTTACAATTAAGTAAAAACTTAAGGGAGAGTTTCAGTCCACTTTTCATGACCAGTCACTTTAGGTGCTTATTTGGCAAATGTCCAGAACAATAGAATAGATTGTAGTTAAAGAAATTGTATGTGCTTATTCTAAAATTGATAGAGGAGTGTTCTACTGTGGATGTAAGTAGGCTGTAACAAGTTTGTTGTGATGAATTAGGGGAGAACAGCCATAGAGAGCATCCTTCTGCATCTTCCCTGTCCCGATTTCCCCCACCCCCCAATATGCTTTGAACCAGTGGGGGTCAAAGTGTGATAAATGCATGGCTGTGGGATTTTCCCTCCCTCCCCCCCACCCCGAAGAGGCTCTCGTAGTGTTTGTATGTTATACTGCACTTGTAGCCTTTCAGTAACATCTGATTGTTTGAGAGCATTCAGATGTCCAGGATTTCACCTTTTGATTTAAATGAGTCTGAAACTTTCATTGTCAGAAGCTCTTAAGAAGAATACTTTTTAAGTTTGAGAAGGTTTACTGCTTGTAGTACTGTTTGCCCTTTAAATGAAATGATCTCTTTTTCCCCACAATTTGCACCTAGGCAGTTACCCTGTTCTAGACAAAAGTACAAGTTTTGTCTGCTCAAGACAAGCTAGACTATTGAAGATGACTTAGGGGATCTCACTAAAGCATAACCCTCTGGTTTGGTTTTTAACAGGAGTAGAGCAATTGCAAATTCTTTTGCATTTACAGTACTGAAACACAAGTAAGCTTATATGCAGAATTAGCTTCTGTCCTGTAGAAGAAAAATGTTGGATGTTTGTTTAGGATAATGAAAACTTATTTGACTTACATTTGTAATTGTCTGGAAAAAGTAGTAATCTAGATCCTTAGTTCACAATCAACTTACCCAATTGGTTTACTGCCTCTGTGATACTATTGTAATTTCACATGTAAATGTGTTTTGTATTGACACTGTCCAAACTGTGCTTAATTAGTATCTTTGGCAATTAAAGAAAGGACTCAAACGCGTGTACAAATTTAGGTAATGTGCCTGAATGAGAAGCAATCTGTTCGCTTGCAGACACTGCTGATGGATAGATAGTTTAAAGTGCAGTCAGTTTTTGGTAGGGAAGAATCATGACCACTAAAAGTAGGAAAGTAGCTGGATCCAATAAGTCATTTTTTTATTGAGGAATGGATTCGCCTTAAGCATGAGGCACTGTTGACAGCAAAATTGGACCTGACAGCTAATCAATGTGTGTCTGCTTCTCATCTTCTGCTTTCTGAGAGAAACATCGCTCTGTGCTGTGAACAACTTACTGTGGTACATAAACTATCAAAATTGCAAGGAAATAATTTGCCAGAGAGTGATATTTTTAGCAATGAATAGCAACTTTTAACCAGTCTGCTTGGCAACCTTTTACAGGTTGTATAGCAGCACTTTTTGCATCAGCATCTTAAATTTCTCTGGACCACTGGCATGTGGGAGGTGTGCTGGGAAATATGTATGTGGTACACCTCTATTGACCCACCGTATCTAATGTACTCTGTGTGTACAGAAGCTGTCTAAAGTGATGATTGTAGCATAGGAGTTTTAAATGCAGCAAAAATATGGCTAAGATTCAAAGGATGAAAGCTAAAATGTGTAAATTTAGCCAGAAATAGTTCAACTCTGTAATGGAGTGTTTTGTCATCTGAGAAGAGGTACTTCTACTTTCATTGCTCCGAGACTGAAAGTTCTGGTTTGATAAAGTTAGATCAATGTATTCTCTTCTTACCTTAAGCCTGTGAATCTGATACGATACTTCATTAATAATCAGGTTCAAACTGTTCTTTGTTATTGACTACCGTGTTGGTTTTAATTCATTGGGGTGGGTTGTTTATATGTGAGTAGATATCACTCGAGGCCCTAGGCAACAATGAAGCTTCATTTTACAGTGCCATCTGTACTGGAGTTAATTTCCCTCAAGTGAAATGGGAATGGTTCGGAAAAACTGAGTAAAGCTGAACTTTTCTTTCTCTACTTCCTTCCCCACTGACCCCCTCATGCACTGTAGATTCAGATGTATCAGCTCTCAAGGCTTCTTCATGACTATCACAGAGACCTGTATAATCATCTAGAAGAAAATGAAATCAGTCCCAGTCTTTATGCTGCACCGTGGTTTCTTACACTGTTCGCATCTCAGTTTCCATTAGGATTTGTAGCCAGAGTATTTGGTAAGAAAGTTTATTCTATTGCAATAATAAACATAACAGTGTTGTCCATTGTGTTTTGAAACTCTCAGGGAGTAGTTTTCTACATACTGCGGACATTTGGGGTGGCTATTGTGGGTGGCAAGTAGCAACACTCTTCATGGTGGGATGTCAGCTCCTTTTCAAAGAGGAAAAGTGAAATGTATTCTTTGAAACATCAGACTTGAGCAATTAAGTATGTCTACTGTTATTAGCCAAGAGATTTCTGAATTGCGAACAGCAGGAAGTTTATTGTTGCAAATGTATTTTATGCACCAAGCATTCAGTTTAAGTCTATAGAAAAGTTCATCTTGTTGAACTTGTAAATTGAAAAAAGATAATGCATTGGTTTTCAAGGAAGTGTTTCTGAGTAACTGATTCTAAAGTGCTTTCTAATAAAAATTCAAGTAAACTTGAACTTAAAGGCTGTTTCAGGTATTCATGTATATATTGAACAGTTTCCTAGTCTTAGTATGCCTTTTATTCCATTTAGATAGTTTTTTTTTCATATGCTCCTCTTCAGACAACGTCTAATACAGAAGCTTAAATATTGATTGTGCCTTGTAGTGTTTACAGTATCAGCATGTCAAGTACTTGGTTTTGTGTTCTTTTATTGTCAATAAGAACTGCCAGCTTAATCAGATCTCTAATAATGCAGATTTTTTTTACTTTATTGATGTAAAACTCACTGTGCTCAGACATGCACCAGGAAGCTAGGAGCATATGCCATGTACTTCCTCTTAAATCAGACTTTCCATTTGATTTTTTTCTCTTTTCATATGGCATCTTTTGTCTTTTCGTAAGAAATTCAACCTGACTTTTGTCTCGTGTTTTATTACTGGAGTGTGTTAGGTTTTTAATTTGTTTGCTGTGGTCGTTCGTGGTGGGAAGAGGGGTTTGGGTTGGTTGGGTTTGGTTTTTTTTTTTTTTTTTTTTTTTTTTGACCTAGTGAAGTCTCCGTTACAGAGGTTTTTTCCTTTTACAGCAAATTTTTTCTGACTGCTCTTTGAGTGAACAAATGATTGGTGTACCTGTTTTTCAGTGGTATTCGTGTGATTGGTACATCTCTTTTTCAGTGGGATTATGAATTCTGGGACACTCAAGCATTTTGGGGTTTTTTTTGGTTTGTTTTTTTTTTTTTTTCTTTTTGATTTTGTTTTTCAAGGCTAAGGTTTTCTTTTTTTTTGTCTTCAGTAGGCTTTGAATTTGGAAAATAAATTTTTTAAGGGTGGGGAGGGTCAGTGTTCATTTCTCTGTAAATGAGCTGAGCTAGGCATGTTGCCGTTTTAAAACTCAGAAGTCACTGTGTTGTTTTACTTCCTAATGCTTTGGATTCCTGCATCTTCAGTGTCTTATGGGCCATTGTCACATACCAGGATAGATGGTTAACGTCTACTCATCACAGATTATATACTTAATATTTATGCTGCTTGAATGTGCGTCATAGACTTGAGAAGGGACACTTTTAACAACTGTGTATGAGTGAGATGTGTGCCTCACCAGTGTCCTGGTGCTACCTGTGATACTGGTTTAGGGCCAGGGATGACTTCTCAGGATCAGGATCAAAAGTTGAGTTTGTTCAGTTGCGTAGCCCTGCTTTTAGTGGTGTGACAGAGCCAACAGCGCAGGAGGCTTATTTGAACTGTTCATGTGCTGCGTTCATCTCGGTAACTGCAAGTCCGCCGCTGCTACTGAGGCCAAGTTTCTAGGTACTGTGATCAAGTTTTCAGTTTCTGTGCAGTCTGTGTCTACTGACTTCTGCAGAGCCCAGACCTTCCCCTCGCATCCACATAATTATACTTCAAAGTAAGGATTTGGGGCTTAAATTATAGCCAATGTGACCACTACTGTGGATTTTGAAAATAATATGATTGGTTATGGAATCCACATGATTGTTTTTTCAGGACTTGCTTCTGCCTGTAGAAAACAGTAAAATGTCAGTACGTTGTGTTATGATCTGCTTCCCAATTGCTTTTCAGTCATAGATGCACTTAAAACCAGTTAGCAGTTTGTTAACAGTCTGTAGTCTACAGCAGACAGCAACAAAATGCTTATTGCAGATAACCATTACAGACATAACAAGCGTGCGGTATTTTCTTTAACGTGCTCTCACATCTGTAAGGTGACAGGAAATGCTTTTACATGCTTTAACCTCATGTTGAAATAAGACAGATTGCACTTCTGAACTGAATAAATCTGCAGTATGATTGATTAAAAAGAAAAACATCCCAGCAAATATATATATTTATCCAATGACTTTAGCTCTTGTTTTCAAGATATTTTAATGATTTTCTTTTTTAGACATTATTTTTCTTCAAGGAACAGAAGTCATATTTAAAGTAGCACTGAGCCTACTTAGCAGTCAAGAAGCATCTATAATGGGATGTGAGAGTTTTGAGAACATTGTTGATTTTCTTAAAACCACTATTCCAGATATGACTCAGCCTCAAATGGAAAAAATTATTACCCAGGTAAGGTTGTTTTTCTCTTTACTTTATTTCCTCCAACTTAGTTTACTTTAAAAAAACCATACCTGAGGTGTATGTAAAAGTCTTCTCAGTATGTTCCTTTTGGTTTGAAATGCAAAGGAGTCATCTTCCCAGTAACTTGTGTAGAAATAGGATATGAGCTAATTTCAATGGGTTTTTAACTGCAATTTTAGCAAGACTTTAGTTGTTACCTCAGGGTTTAGTACAAAGGTTCTTTTGTGCCCCAGCTATTGGGAAAACATGACTTTGCTTATAAATTTCACGTCACCATCAGAAGGGTAAAAGTAGCCTATTTTCCAAACCAAAACCCAGCTGTTGCTCCCTTCCAGTGGGAGCAGTCCAACAGTTTGTGACGGGAAGCACAACTTGCCATGGTGGGAAGAGGCAGCATCATGGCAGCTTCTCCTGATCCTTTGAACTTCTGGCTGCACAGGGCCAGGTACCCCCGTAGGAACTTTTCTGACACCTCCAAGTTAAAATCCTACAAGTTAGGAGGTTGGTGAGGCCCTGTTTTCATGATCTGTATTAAAATCAAGGTCAAGCAAACTTCTGCTGTTCTGTTGCGGGGGCAGCTTCTGTCCTCCTGGGGATCATTGTTAGGGTGCCCTCATGCAACTTCCCCTTTTCACCTCAACCCTGTCCTTGAAGGGATCGCATTTAACAGGTGCTTGGTGCCTGAGGTAAAAGCCCCTCAAGACTGATCCCTGCTTTTCTTGGGTAAGGGAAAGGAGGACTGGTGTAGTGTTATTTCATCAGTATCATTGCAACTCCATGGCAAAGGGCGAGAACAGAAGAGAAACAAAGAATTACTGATGCTGATATAGGAAAAACTTCCTGTGAAATACTGTCGGTGGCTGGGATCTTCATCTTTGTACATCGTCTTCCTTTGCACTGAAGCTGCAAATTGAAAATGAACCTCAGTCTAGCACCTTAGCTGTGAACCTGTGAGCAGTTTTCCCTGTTCAGGTGGCAGTTCAGAGATATAACATCTAGAAAACCATCTCCGTATGCAGCAGTGCAGTTAACACTTATGCATTCCTATGGCTTTGTTAACGGTCGAATGTTTTCAGGTGCTGTCAGTTAAGCATTCATTTTTTAGATGATGTGTAAATCTTCATTTCCTCTTTGCATTGATTGTGATTGCCATGCTAAACCTGTGTCAGGTACTTTAGGGTCTGTCTTCACAACTCACTGATTCTGGCAATGATAGAGATGGTAGTTCAATATTTTTGGTACTATTAGGAATTAAATCTCTGTCCTGTGGTCTGCGTGGGTTGCAGAGCAAACATGCTGTGGTGAGCATGGTAGAAGTGGCTTTGTGCAAAGCCAGGTCTGATTGAGTAAAGAATGGGTTATGTTGCCTGAGCGGAGGTGGATGTGGTTATACGCAGGTCAGCTCAGCTCTGAGAGGAAGGTTGCCTGCTTGCCTGTGGTGTGGTCTCATGCTGAGCAACCTTCTGAATCTGCATTCATGTGTAGACTGCCTGTATCGTATTGCTGCTACCTAGGCTGGCTGCAGGTGGAGTCGTTTGTCTGTCTCAGTGTTGTAATTACCAGGACCATCCTCTTATAGTGGATAATGAAAGAAAAATGTAGACATTATGCAGGACTATAATACAGAGATGAAGATTTAACCAGGTAGCTACGTAGAGGAAAATGTCACTTGCCTGGCTTGAACACCATATGTAATTTAAAGTTTTACCTCATTTGAATTACCTGAAAAATGGTGACTGTAATGCAGGACTTGTTTTGTTGGGGGATCTGTGTGTGTCTTCTGTTGGTGTAATGTTTGTGATCTCTAGAACAAGGAACATTAATTTAATGTCACTGTAGGCATCCTTCTCTAGAACAAGGAACATTAATTTAATGTCACTGTAGGCATCCTTCCCTTCCTAGTCTAAACTATTTGGTAACTTTCAGAAGCTGAGAGGCCGTGACTAGATGTATAAACAGATAAGGTTCATATGGTTCCATCACTGGTAGATGCTCAGTTCCATAGTCTTCACAATGCCTTGTCACCAAAGCTTCCCAATAAGAAAATAGTGTATCTTCACACAGAGACAGAGCACAGGGAAACTGTAACCATGAAGAGTATTTTTATAAAAGTCTATAAATGGGCACTTGGAGTCCAGAGATCCAGTTTTGAGGGTGGAGATCTGACGACTCCTGGATTATTCTTCCTCATTGTGTGATCCTGCTCCCATCACAAGCTGGTGAGACTTGAACTTAAAAATTTCTTCTTGAACTTCTTAATATACCTGAGCAAGAAATGATAAGACTTGGTCACACTATAAAATTCTTGGATTAATAAGACTTTTCTGCTGATATATCTCATAGTAAGAGATGGTATTTGGTAATTGTAGAAGTGATGATCCAATTTATTCTAAAGTCTACGATTTATTATGGCTAGAGTCAGAACTCTAGATGCTAAAATGCTCTTACTGCAGACTTCCCCTTAAAATACTTTTTTGAGAGGAACAGGAAAAAAACATTAAGTTAATCAAGCAGAGTTGCCTCTTAGCCAAACATTCATGTGGAGTAAGTGCTGTCTATTTGTTGTGGTTTAACTCCAGGTGGCAACTAAGCACCACACAGCTACTTGCTCGCTCTCCCCTGGTGGGATGGGGGAGAGAATTGGAAGGGTAAAAGTGAGAAAACTCATGGGTTGAGATGAAAGACAGTTTAATAGGTAAAGCAAAAGCTGCACACGCAAGCAAAGCAAAATAAAGAATTCATTCTTTACTTCCCTTCAGCAGGCAAGTGCTCAGCCATCTCTGGGAAAGCTGGGCTCCATCACCTGTAAAGGGGTCAGCTGTCCCAGCTGTGTCCCCTCCCAACTTTGTGTGCACCCCCAGCCTACTTGCTGGTGGGGTGGTGTGAGAAGCAAAAAAGGCCTTGACTCTATGTAGGCACTGCTCAGCAATAACGAAAAGATCTCTGTATTACCAACGCTATTTTCGGCACAAATCCAAAACATAGCCCCATACTAGCTGCTATGAAGAAAATTAACTCTATCCCAGCCAAAACCAGCACACTTGTTTTTTCTCTCATGGCAGGTTTTTGAGATGGATATTTCAAAACAGCTCCATGCCTACGAAGTAGAGTACCATGTTCTTCAGGATGAACTGCAGGAAAATGTGAATCCCTGTGATGAAGGTGAACCCCTGGAGAAGCTGGAGAGGGCAAACAGTCATCTGAAGAGACAAAACATGGATTTGTTGGAGAAGCTACAGGTAAATTACTTAAGACTACAAATTCATGGAGAGGTCATTTTATGATTTGGCCAATAGAGGAGTAAGTGCCTTTTAAATGTACATCAGAAGTCTTCTAACTGCAAGACCTTATGCAGTTGAGCAGTTCTCTCAATTACAGTGATTTACTTCTGTCAGACATATTTTTAACTCCTTTGTCATTCCTTGCACTTTTCCTTCTTGATTTAGATTTCTTTTTCTCATAATATCTCTACCCTTATCTCCGATAAAATCTGTTGGCAAAATTGTGTATCTTGCTGAAAAATAAGTTCTCTATCCCTTCCTCTCTTTGCTTCCCTACTGGAGAGTTTTAAGAAATAATCCATAGTGTGGTAGGCCTGCTTTCCCCAGACCTTTGTAGGTAATATCATTCTGTTTCCTTCTGATGGAGCTCATAGTCCTACTTTTGAAAGGTGGTCTCTTCTAGCAGACTTGAATACAGCTTGAATACTTGAATAGTGCCCACCAGATTTTGCCCAATAAAGTCATGCTTTAAAAAAGTCTTCTCTTCCTCCTTCACTATTCACCCTTTCTCCCATAGCCTGACCAAGACTTGTTTCAGGTTTCAATATGTAGTCTTGCATCCTCCTGAAAGAAAAGCTCTTCTTTTTGCATCACCAGTCCATTTCTTGTTATATTTGTTAATTTGAACAAGCATTGGGAAGAGCTGAGAGCACTTTCAGCTTCTGAAACCTGAAAATAGAAGCAGGGAAAAAAGGAAAGATCAAGGCCTCATTATTTTTGTGTTTATGGGCTAAGGGACCTGTGCTGTGTTCTTTTGATATTGAAAACAGCGGTCACTTGCTTTTTTTACTATTACTGGTTTTGCTTTATTATTTTTACTTATTAACTGCTACCTGGGCTTTTAGCTCTTCCCTTGGTGCATTTTCAGAACATAGAATAATTATGAGTGACTGATTTGAAAGGTTCTATTGAAGCTCTTCTGTTCTTCCAGAGTTCTGTACTTTAATGCATCTTCCTTAACCTCTTCATCTTTTTGTTTGTACAGCTTCTTCATGCCTCTGCTTGGGCCCTTTCCTAGGAGCAGTCAGAATTCTCCCACTTCTCACAGAGAGACATTTGCTACTGCTGAGGTCCAGAGTTTCTGATTACTAGTCAGTGTGTTTTCCCTACAGGAAGCTGTAGGTCTTTTATTGGAGAATAGAGAAAACTATCTGCTTCTAGACTTAACGTTGAGGTTCTCTTTCTCTCTAACCTCTCCATCCTGCTAATTTACTTTATTACATAGGGTTCCCATTGCTCCATCACTGTTGGACAAGTCATCTCTTCCAGTGCTACTCCAGCTGCTGATTTCCTTTTTCTCCCTGTAGCTCCAGTTCTTTGTTACACTCAGTTGTCCCTTGCTTGCTGCAACTTGCATGTCTCCTTCCCTCTGTACAGCTTTCAGAAATCCTTCAGATTGATCTGGCCACTATAAGGAGATTCTGTGTATGATACACAGTAGGCATTCCTTGTATCATCTGCCTACACAGATGTCTTTTGGAAACATCTATGTAATTAAGTCCTTTCCTTAACATAGAACATACCATAATATAAAAAAAAGTTATTTGGAATGTCTCAATTTATTCTAAAGATAATGTTACTGTTTACAGGTTGCTCATGCTAAAATTCAGAGTCTAGAATCCAGCCTGGAGACTATTTTGACTCGAGAGAACAAAATGAAGACTGTAATTCAGTCCCTGGAACAGGAGAAGATAACATATCAAAAGACTCTTGAGCAGATGATGAAGTATTTGCCAGCAGAAGCATTGTCTGACTGTGAACTGCTCCTGAAGGAAGTAAACTACAATCCAAATAACAAAATAAAATAAGGAGTAAGCCATAAACCAGGGTTTTCTAGGCAGCATTTCTTCAAAAAAAGGGAAAGAAAAGATGAGTACGCTGCTTTCAAAGGACTTAGCAATAGGCAATAGTATTATCCAAAACTAGTGCTGGGACACTCATAGCTACAGATGGGCCTTCAAATGTCAGTATGCAAATTCAGGCTATTAATTTTTTTTTATGATTGTGTAAATAAATCACAAGGGGGAAATAAAGGATTCTCATGTGTAATTATGATGAACAGATGTATATTTAGAGTTGACCTAAAGGAAAAGAGAAATTTCGGTAGTCAAAGCCAAGATAATGGTGATCTACAAATTCACTCTGGATGTGCTTGTCTTGTAGTGAAATGAGGCTAGCGTGTCTTTATATATATGTATGTTGAATAATACTTGAAGAAAAAAAAAAAAGAATGTAATTTTTCCTCCAAAGAGCAGCATGTTTCACATCTTCTGTGGAAAATCTGTGTGAACTCATGCGTGCCTCTCTTTTAATTCTACTGACATTGTGTGCACAGACCAGTAAGCAGAGTAAGTATCATGACTTGGTTTGTACAGAAAGAGTTCTAGTGCCATCCACTGCCTGGGCTGTACTGGTCAGCAATGTAATTCCACATGCATGTTGGAACTGGAAACAAAAAGCATAGTGTCATAGCTGCGCCCCCATAGCTCAGAGCTAAGAAATAGGTATCTATACACACTTGCAGAACTTGTAAAGACAAGAGGTAACAGTGACTGCTACTTCCTTCCCAGCCTGTCTGCTTCCACCTGTCTGTTTGCTTCCGCCTGTCCTGGGGCTGGTCATGATGACAGGAGGAAGGAAGCAAGGCTGTGGGGTGGTGTTTATTCTGATGTTAATTTTCTGCAGGAGACTTGCTGTCATAAGAGTTAGGCGTGCAAGATGTTCTCATTTAACCAAAGAAATACTACAAGAAGCCTTGTCTTATCGTAGTGGGAGCCAGAAAGCTGTTCTTAAATTTTATTTGAAAACTGAGGCAGGTTGCAGGAAGTTGAGCATAAGTGCACAAGAGAGGACCAAGCAAGTTTCAAATATTATGTACCTTTCAGTTTTCACATACACAGTGGATATACATTTCAAAGGGGATTCTGAAGTTACAGGTGCAGTTTTAATAATGCTTTCCAGGTTATTCCTGTTTTAATACTGCGTTGTGGTCTTTTTTTTAAAATAAAAGTCACTAATTTGTGTGTTCTGGGCAGAAGGTAGGTAAGCTCTGATCATTTCAAGGGAGAAAATATGTTTATAAAGGTATAAAAAGATACATATAGATTTGAAAATGTTTTTGAGTGAAATTTTTGAGAAGGCTTAGACAACTGTGTAATAGACGTGTATTTTGGAGTGCATGTCTGAACCGTTAATTGAGTGTTACAGTGGCTCATGTTATCTCTTACCATTTATACTGTATTTCAGGAAACACTTATTCTTTTTAGTAAGAAAAACAATTAAGCAAAGTGCCAAATCCAGCAGTGTCTTTATGCATAAGACTGTCCAATTTAGAAAGCAAGGACTGAATATCACTGCTTTCTAAGTGTTATGCTTTATGTTAACGTAAAAAGTGAGGAACAACCATGCTGATTTGCTGCACGCTGCTGTGGAACTTAGGGGCTTGGGGGTCTCCTGTTCTTTTTTTGTTATTGTTGTTGGTTTTTACTTCCATGGTGGTTTGTTTTATTTTATTAAAGATACTGATTTACTTAACAGTCTTTCTTTTTACAGTTGGGGTGCAAGGTCTTAACACTGTGTATAAAATTATGTGGAATCTGTCTAGATATTTCAAGAATTTTGAATATTGTACTAGGTGGAAAAATGCCGAGTGAAAAGGCAGTTCACAGTTTTGTTCAGAGTAAGTTTTAGGTGATGTGTATGTACAAAACCAATCCCAGGAACTGCAGTAGTGTGTATTGCAAAGAATCAAGGTTATTCAGATACATCTTTTTTTTTTTTTTTTTTTTTTTTTTAAGATGCACTGAATGTGCTTTATCCTCTGTTTCATTTATAAATTTTTTCATGTAATGCCTGGAGAAATTCCAATAAATGTCATTGCTGCATTTCCCATGGCCTCTGGCTAGTTTTATTTTTCTACACTTCAAGTACCAATCTCATTCTCAATAGTACTGTTTACATGAAAGATGAAAAGGATCTGTTTAGTCTCTCGTTGTGGAGGACATGGGGAGGACAGAAATTCTTAGCAGAGAAAGTAGTCTTGCATTGTTCTTAATAGAAGCTGAAATGACTAAAAGGTATTTTTCTTCTGTAGCAGTTCATTTAGCATGTATGCATGTTGAGAATAGTAATTTGATGAACTCTATGCTGTACATCTAGCTTGGGAGGAGGAGGACACCATATCAACAAGTAGGAATAAACTTCAGAAGTAAAACCACAATGAGGTAAGTGCCTCATGACATTAGGACATTTGTGATAGCATTTGTATTCTGGATGCAAGTGTGGCTTGTAACTGGGTATCTCTAGGGTGTCTAGCTTGAAGTCTGCACTCAAGCAGGTACACTCCATACCATGTTCAGATGAATAACCAGCAAGGTTATCTAGAAGACTGTGAACGATGTGTGTGTTTGTGTCAATCTGTTTGCCTTTCCCCATCTATTGTATAGGTAGCTTTACAGCTGTTCTGTTCTGGTTGCAGTTGTGCAACTGCGAAGAGGGAGGTCTGAGGTGCAGTGGGCCAGAGACACAGCTGCAAGGATATTTGCTTGGGAGAAGGGATAGTTCCTGGGTTTGGACAAATTGCTCATTTATTCCTATGTCTTGTTCTTCTGTTTGGAAAAAAAGTTTTCAGAATAAAGCTATTGTTCTGTCTGAGCTAAGCACAACAGCGTTCTCAGATTTTGCAGTCAACTTGCAGAGAACTAACTCAGGAGGAAAAAGTATCTGCTGTTTTCAGGAACAGCTAACTTAGACTGGTTTCTGCTGGCAGAGGGCTTTTTTAAAAGCCTGGGAAGAGATCCATCCTTTTAGCTAGCAAACTGGCTTGTAAATGAAGAGTACTACTTGCCAGGAACACAGTTGAAATAGGTCAGTCTGGTAAAAAGGGATAATGTAGGGAACTCTGGTATTTGCATCTTTTATGGATGGAAAACTTGGCCAGAAAGTTGTTGGTTTTCTGGTGGGGGGGAGGTTTCCCCTCTGTCCTAAAAAGGAGAGTATGTATTTCTCTCCTAAAAAGAGGAATATTTAAGGTGCCTTTGAGTTGCATTTTGTTCACTTTTCTCTAAAAAAACATTAGGTATTACTGAAAAATCAGTCTCCTGATAAAAATGGCATGTTCCAGTTGAAGACCTGACTTGAAATCACAAAGTTAGCTAATCTTAAGTAGTTTGATTATGCCCTCTTCAACATGAAACTGCTTTGCTTAATGTCCCTACAAGAAAGCTGAACAATTTGTAACATAGGAAAGAATTTCAGCAGTTTGGTCCAAGAATTTGATATTACTAGCATGATCCAGAGGGTCTATGTTTGGACACTTAATCTAAACCTAAAACCACATAGGTATTAGTGTGAATCGCTTTTTGTGGGTTGAGGTGAATAACCTCAGGTGCTGTTAACAGTAATTATCCACTCAGTCTTTGTAGTTGTTGTGGTTTAGCCCCAGCCAGCAACTAAGCACCA